TGCGTACAGTATATATATATATATATATTCCCATTTTATTATATTGCAAAGTGCACAATATTTCACTTGCCTCACTTTTGTTAATTGTTTATCTTTACTCTAAAAGAATTGAAATCTTGTATATACATGTATGGATACTGGAGATTTAGGAGGACAGGTTGAAAACTGTAGTTGAGTTATGCAAAATACAGTCAATGAAATAATACCACATAATATTTCACTGCATGTTTCACTCCATTATTGTTGTTTTGGAGAGGCCAGGCGAAGACATTGATGTCCACGTTGCAGACATTGTCCTTAATGTTGCTGTCTGGTCCATGCCAGGCTGGGTGGGGGGGTGTTCATGGGAGGTGTTAACTTCTAATGGCTTTCTCTGCCACAGCTCTGACATCTGCAGGGCTCCCAGCAAAAAAAGAAAAAAAAGAGTGAGGCCTTTTTGAAAAATTAATGGAGCTGAATGCATCTCACAGCGAGGAGGGGCCTGGATTAATCAGCATATTAAGGACTAGCTCCGGATTGGAAATAATTATTGGAGCTGACAAGGTGCAGAGGTGCCAGTGCCAGCTCCTTTCAGGAATGCATTTTAAAAAGCAGTTTAAAAAGCCTTCAGATGTTGGCATTATCTCGCGTGACCAAATTAGGAGCAAATGAGAAAAGTTTATCTGGCATTTTGGAGCATTGAAAGAGCTTAGGCTTTATAAATTATACAGTGTGTGTGTGTGTGGGTGCATGTGTGTGTTCTCATGTGTATGTGCTCTAATGTGCGCAAAAAAGTCCAAATGTGCCTGCTCGGTGTGAGGAGAAGACATGCAGTCACTAAGAATTATGGGTAAATCTTTTAACAAAAACCATAGGTTTTACTGTAGATTAATGGGGAGTTGTCCTTTTTTTTTTTTTTTTTCTTGCCAGAGTAACTGCACTCGAATGCATCAGGGCTTTATATAAATGGGCCCTTGAATCTATCACACTGTTTGTGCGAATGAAAAGTGAATTTCTGTGAGAGAGCCAGACGGTAAACTGATTACTGTTGACCAGCCATGAAACGCATGAAGAAGTGGGAAGAGACATGATTTAATAAGAAGCGTTTATTTCTGCCTTTCAGAAATAATCCCCCATAATTTCTCCCGTGAAGTGATTTGTCTAGAACTCTCACTTATCATTATTAGCCTCCAGTTTCCAGACATTTTTCAGATAAAGGCTGTCTGCATCTTAACTACTTCATGTAAATTACAGATGCAGGCCAAAATATAATAAATTAGTGTTGTTGTGTATTCGTGTAAAACTTTTTTATGGATAAACCAAGAACCTCTTGTAGCAATGACTTGACACAGAAGAGTCTGAATTAAATTTATATTTATTATTTGTTTATTTATTTATTCATTTATTTTTTGTAATGTACCTCTAATGTTAGACAACAGAAAAGAGAAATAGAATAGAATAGAATAGAATAGAATATGCATCTTGTATTTAAAGTTTTTATAGCAGGGGTCTGAGATTCAAATGAGCTGAGAGCCACATCAGTGTTGGAGTTCAATACAAACTCTGCAGATATCCAGTCTCTGCTCTGGACATTTTATAAAGAACCTACTCACAGGTGAAAATGTTAGTAATTATAGTTAATTATAGTTAATATTTTCAGGCTGGAGTTTTTATCAGCGGCTCATACAGATGTTTCACTCATTGTAATCTGACGATAGTAAACCTGGGACGTTGTTATATTTATGTTGGACTCTGAACAAACATTTGGTAAACACTGCGCTGCACTTTTATTTGCAGTGGCAACAATGGACTAATCATTACTTAACTTTGCTGCTACAGTTAGTGATTTTATTTACCTTTTACATTCCTTTTAACAAAACTACAGTATATTGTGCGTAGCGAGCGATTTGAAGTTCGACGCGCGGTTCTGTGGAGCAGTCATACAACTCTGCCCTCAAAGCAAACAGTAAAAAAGACCGAATGGATTAACAGTAAAAATGTTGCTGATATGAAGACTGCACCCTGCAAAAGGAGGTGGTTCACCACATCAAAAGAAGGAGCGTGAGGAATGCCAAATGTTTGGCCACACGTTTGATCTTTAGAGCCCTCCATCAGATATGGAACCTGGGATAGAGATCTCCATCATGGCTGTTAGTCTCTTTTAAATGCAGTGGCTCTTCAGGTTATTGCAACACACTCAGTGACCAATGGGAGGGGCCGAGTGGCAGCAATCAATCTCTACAATCTGTGCACGCTACAGTGATTGAGTCGCACTCTTTGGACAGCAGTTTTTTTTTTTTTTACTTCAGCCAGTATCAGTGTAAGTCAGCCACCTTGAATATTACCTCTGCTCTGTGGCGGTGTAATTACACGAAGCACGATTAAAGAAAACAGGTGGATTTGAAGATGCAATCATGATTTGTGATACACTCAATACATGGATTCAAAATTGATTTAGTATTTCCAGGGCTGGTATACCAAGAACTATATTGGCAGAAAGGCTCCTAAATTGAAAAAAAAAAAAAAATCGCAACAAGATCATCTTAATTACCTTGAAATTACATTCACATTTTATAATGCAGATATCAGAGATTGACGTCAAGAAGATATTCAACGTTTTTATCCAGCAGTGCAGTTGCTGATCGACAGAGATAGCACAATACAGTTGAACTTGTTTTCATAAACCTTATCAGTGAATTTGCATTTGTAGATTGTTGGACTGTAATACTAGAGATGAGACAGATGGCCGTTTACAACAGGGAAGCTCCAGGTGTGATATTCAGGAATTTTTGTGTTAGTTCTGGTAAACAGAGCACATTGGTTCCCTGCCCGAATGAAGGAACTGCCACAACGGCACAGGTCAAGTGAAGGAGAAAAGTCAAGGTAAAAAAAAAACTACGCCCACATGTGTAACTACTGTATAACTGCATGAGCCGACGCTTAGTCATTTTTAAGACAAACTGCTTCTGCGCTCCCCTTGTCACACATCACAGTCAGACAAGCCGTTGTTGTGAACTCAGCCTGACTTTTCACCTCTGTTTAAAAAGAAGCCGCCTATCAAGACGCATTTTGACAAAGCCCAGAAATGGATGACAAAAACCTTCCCTGAGAGATGCTTTTAATAAAGTGAGATCCTACACTGACAGAACACGTATGCATAAAAGTGTTTTATGTGCAAACTAAATCTGAAAAACATTAGACATTGTCTTTAAATTAAAGCCTGATGGTTGAAAAAAAATGACGCCTGAAGAAATCGACAAACTTCACAAAAGTGGGCGTTGCGGAGAGAATTGTAAGGCCTGTCATTACAGCACCTCACGCCTAGTATTGCCCCCCCGCCCGCCTCCCTATCTGAAGAGCAGCCCATCTCTGCTCTGTAGGAACAGCCTCAGGCACAGCATTCTGGGTAATGTTCCAAGACACCTTTTTGTTTGTATTCAAAAGCGATGCAAGTTCGTTTGTTTGTGAAAATTATTTGATTTTGATTTTTTTTTTACATATGACGTTACTATGGAACACACATCGTTCCATACAACAACAGACACTGATGTCATGTAGAGGTGTAAAGGTCAGATTTGATAACAAATGGTCATCGAGTCACATTGCAAAAGTAGCTAAAGTCTCTGAAATACCTCAAGCTAAGCTCGGAAATAAAATGTAAACAAAAGTAAAATCCATATGGCAATAATTAAATATAGACTAATAATAACTTAAAGGTAAACAACACAAGTAGACATTTTAGCCCAAATATAACAAATCTTGAGAAGACGCCTCCCTGAAAGGTTCTTTAACTTTGTACGTAGAAATGATGAACAAGACTTTCTTAACAAATTTATGGGAGATGGCGCCGTACCCAGAAAACACCTCGGGTCGAGGACGTCGTAAACCGAGGATCTCCTGTATCTACCAGAGAAAAGGTTTATTGTTTTAATCACATTTTTCAGCTGAGTCATTAATGATATTAATCTGTGGTCTACGGGACGTTATCAGTTTATTAACTTTTACTGGTTTAGGAACTCCTGCAAAAAATCATTTTCTGTAAAAAAAAAAAAAAAAACACATGAAAAAATGTCTGCATGTAAACCATCTGCTCTTTACTCATAAAAGTCTGCAATTAAACCTTCCTCGGGCTGTCAGGGAAGACTTCAGCACGGGGTCAAGGGTCCTACAACTGGCACTGTTGGGTGCCGCCAGGGTGCTGATGGTACAGTATAGTGCAGGAGCAGAGCTGTGATAAAGGGCAGCTGCCAGAGATTTAATGAGGGAGCAGGGGGACGTGGCCCCCCCACAGCATCACATCCCCACTTATTGCTACCACTAATCCCTGCAGAGACGGTGCTGTACTCACAATTGTTCCTTCCCGCCATGTGGCGAAATATTCCAGCAACACTTTCTCACACCAGCTAGCTGTTCACAGCCGTTATGATACGCTGCCACACACACACACACACACACACACACCAGAACAGGCTGGCAGATGAAAGGATGAGATGCTCTCACAGGTGATTGATCTGTGTGTCTGACCTGGTCTTTGATTGTTGTTTCACCACAGCTACTCCCTCCAGTTTGGAAGTAAGAATGTGGATCAGTGGTGTTAAAAAAAAGCCTTGTACCCATTACTTTTCAGTGAAAAACTAGCATTGACCTCTTCCTGTTGAGCAGCAGGAGAGTGAGTGGTCCTGCATTTTCTTTGCTGGTGTTAAAGGTTTAGACGGAGCCGTCACTAGGCTTCTGTCGTGTTCAAATGACCTCGGTTCTTCAAGGAAATCTTAATTGGCTCTACCTGTAAAGTGTGATCTGTGAGCTGCCTCCTCGCTTGTTTTTCACAACAGTCGATAACAGGGATATTTCCTCACCTATCGACCCTCCCGGGGATGTTGCCCTGCATGTCTTCTCAAAAAGCACCTAGCCTTATGTACTGTACATACGCCTGTTATTCTAACTCGTCAAACACAGTAGATATGCTTATACCATAATTCTGCAATGACTTCTGCTCATATTTTAATGGGTTCTCTTTACAGAAGCTGTGAAGGTGTTGTATTTGTTGCACTGCACGAGAATGGCCACTTCAGTGTAAGACATTTCTCCCTTATATAGGACAAGTCCTTATACACAATGAAAATAAATCTGCAAAATTCTTTGGTGTATAAGGACTTGTCCTTATATATAATGAATGAAAATAAATCTGCAAAATTCTTTGTAAATAATTATCTATAATTAATTATTGTTTGAAAATTAAATGGCAATATTTGACACAAAAAGACGATTTTTAAATGGAGCAAATTATTATATTATTGTTTAACTTTGTGTCACTTGCTACACCGTTTGTAAGTACAAGGACTGTTAGTTATCATTAGCTCCAGTGTCTGCGCTGCATTTTGTTGATAGCTTTGCAATCACACTATAATCCAAGCTGTTTAAAATAAAATTCCAACTCGTCCTTCATCACTGTTCACTAATGCAATTTAATGCACCCTAGCAATGTAACCTATAGATGCATTACCACCACCCACTGGGCTGTCTGAACCAAAAATGAGAGAACTGAGAAGGTGAAATAAAATAGTTTTTTGTTTGTGTTTTGTCTGTAAATAATTCTGACATAAACACTTTGAAGTCCCAGCTGTAGTATATATTTGCATGCCTCTATTGTGTGAGCTGTGATGTTAGAGCTCATCCCAAACTGTAAATCCAGGCCATATCACATTTAAATGGTCCAACATATGGGAATTGATTTGCAAGTGAAACTCCCAGGCATGAAAAATCCAAACCACCCTCCACAAAAACATTCCACATGAGTTTAGTGGTCAGGAGGAGAGGGAGCACTTGCACCGCTACAGATCCTCAAAGGTAATGGGTCTAGCAGCGATGTCGAAGCCAGTGCTGGTGAAACATCTCAATATGTTCGCATGAGTGCACAATTAACATGAGCCATTTAAAATATACACATGTACATCACAATCACGTTCATCCCCTGCCTGGAGCTGGCTGTGTTTTTCGAAGCAGTGATGCTTATTCTCCTTGTCTGGATAATAATTTACAGACTCGCTGTCTCACAGTGTACACTCATTCCTGGCCTTAAGTTGATACTTTAGTCTCGGTGGGACTCCGGGGCAGCGGAAACAGAATCTTTATGATTCCCTTTTCCTCCATATGCTTTTGTTTTTTAGCAGCTACCTCTGCCTGGGAATTCACCCCGTCATGTCGGGACAAAGGGGGCATTTTATTCATAGTTCAGAAGATATGCCAATACATGTGGTGCTTTCCACCTGCCCGACACACATGCTCTCTGATCCAGACGCTCCCGGCATTTTCTGAACTGCTATATGAGCAAAAGTATTATTATGGCTATGGAGGTTAAAATAACCAGAACTAGAGTATAGGGATTAAATATCTCTTAACACATTTAACGTAAAGCTGCGCCTGAAACTACCTGCTGCATACACTGTACCTAAGGCATTGACGGATGTGATAATAAGCTGCTCTGTTACACACTGTGGTAATAGAGGTAGACCACAAATGAGACGAGGACTCTCAGAAAAGTAGCTGCACCTTTATGACACGACATACGGCTTACAACACTGACCTCCTGCAACTGATCAACTGACCACACAGAAATGCAACACTGCAACACTGTACCATAGCTTTTAGCCAAAGATTATCACTATTATCATTACAAATCAAATATCACAAATTAAAAATATTACTACAAGTGCCATGCAACATTCTTGCAATTATTTTGTCATTCCAAAAAAATATTTTTGTAGTTAATCATGTGCATTTTTCCACACTGTACAAATCCAGTGTAGGTTGATTTTATGACCCAAGACATTTTATTAACCTCATCCTTTAATATATTTTATTGTTGTCCTTGCAGAAGTCATCCTATCTTTTCCTGTGGCTGATTTCTGAACGACAGTAAAGACCTTCCCTGGAGAGACAGAGAGACAGAGAGGTAGGTGACTCTCACTACAAACACCGTTCTTTCACAAAGGCTACATTCCCAAACACAGCATCATCTTGTAAGGAACTGATTAATACTAAAAAACATTACTTAATCTTAATAGGCTCCGCAAGGCATTAAAAACACATCAGGTGGTTTGTTTGAAACAGCAAGTCACTCTGACCAGAAGGACCTTTCACTACTGGAAGGTCCTGGGGATCTTAGACAAGCAAAAACAGCTGCATATATATATCAACTGTACTTTACTGTTCCCCTGTGATGGCTTCAACCAGGCATCGATGACTTACATAAAAAGCTGCTGGTAAAATCTCCAGAGTGAAAATGTTACCAAAAAAAAAAAAAAAACCCTACAAACTACAGGTGCTTCCTTTTGACCTCCACAGTTCTATTTTTGGAACCAGATGGTTAAATTGTTTCTATATAAAGCTGATAAGTACATTAGAGTTATCTCAAGTGTACTTTTCTAAACCTACGCCTCTTCAGTTATCTTGCCTTTGGCCAGAAGTGTCTTATACGGGAGTGACTATGAAAAAAATAATTCAATTTCAGTCGGATCTTTTCAGTTTTATTTTGATGGAGTGAATGAACTTTACATCTAAATACAGGTTTAAATATATTGTATTAATTGTAAAATGTAAGAAATCTAAAGGCGTCACATGATGAGGCTGTGGTGGAAACAGGCGAACATGCTGCTGCTGCTGCTGCTGCTGTTGCTGTTGTTGTTGTTGCTGCTGCTGCTGTTGTTGTTGCTGCTGCTGCTGCTGTTGTTGTTGCTGCTGCTGCTGTTGTTGTTGCTGCTGCTGCTGTTGTTGTTGCTGCTGCTGCTGTTGTTGTTGCTGCTGCTGCTGCTGCTGCCGCCGCTGCCCCATCATCTTTGACAAATGGAGCAGAGATAGAAAGGCCTCTTTGAGTGAGTTGTAACTTTCGGCAGCCCCTCACAGGTGTGGGTGATCTTTCATCCTCCTCCTCCTCCTCCTCCTCCTCCTCCTCTTCCTTCTGCTCTGCCTCCACGTCCTATCACTGGCCTCCATCAAAAGTGAACGTGGTGCCTCAGGTTCAGATTAGCTCCACTTTGACAGACCAAAGAACTGCCCTCCTCCTCCTCCCCCTGCCCCTCTTCACCTCACCTCACACATCTCCTACAACAGGGGAAATTAGGGTTAGTTTAGGAGATCTTACAGCGCCACTAAACACCGCCCCAGATCGCTCACTGATTACTCTGGTCGCTCCATTGTGCCCCACCACCATCACCTCCACTCCCCTTCAGTTATCTTTTGCTTTTGGCCAGAAGCAGCTTTCCTACACCCCCCTCCCCTCACTCACACACGGAAAATCCTCCCTCCAGCTTGTCCAGATAAAACACATAGCTAACTTATTGTGGACACTCAGTCCAGTTCATCAGTTCAGATTCTTGCCTTGTCATAATGTTTACTTTGTTTTTTTTTTCTTTTAAAAAAAACACATACAGTTAATGTTTTGCCTAATTGTGGATTCAAACCAGCAGTTGTGCCGTGTCTGTGACACACTGTAAGAGCCTTTTTACTGGTTATTATCCCAGGCTCCAGTGGAAACAGATTTGCCATGAAGTAATGGATGACTCTGATCTTCAAATTATTACACACAAAAGACAGGGTTATGTGAAACAACTTGATTTTCTGAAATGAACCCTCACAGGGTATGTATTAACAAAAAGCCCCTTTTAGGCAGTTCTCGCACAGCAATTATAGATGATCAACCTTTGTGGCAAAATGCTTAAACGCCAGTGGTTGGATGAGCCCTCTCATTTGTCTCTCTTGTCAGTTTCCTGTTTTCTTGAGCAACTCCTTTGACCTGGCTGGCAGCCTCGCCTGCCCTGAAGAGCACTTTCCCTTTTCCCCATTCTGGGCTGAGAAGAAGAGGGGGAGGGGGGGGGGGCAGAAGGAGTGAGAGGTAAGGGTGAATGAGGGGTCTGACTTAATCTGACCCACTGCTCAGGTCAGTGAGCTGCTTACCAGCTCTATCCAAACATGGGGGGCTTGTTTTGCTAAAGCTGTGGAAAGAAGAAGTGCCCTCTTAAATCAATGCTTTACTTAGAGCCATGCACATGCAAGTTTGTTATGCGTGAAACCACAGAAGGCAGCGCTGGCACACAACCAGCAGCGTGTTTTTTTTGCTTGTTTGTTTTTTTGCTTCTACACTCCTGTGTATGAAAGAAGCAGCCGCACGTCTTTTTCAACATCCCCAGCTTTTCTTGCACGTCTTTTTCAACATCCCCAGCTTTGTTGTTGAATTTTGACGTTCATTTTATTCCTAATATTTTGCAATGCAGTGCATCCCATCGGGGTTGGGGGTTTCACCTAAAGTAGTGTAGCCCTGTTATAAACGTGGTGCTGTAAAAAATGTGTTGAAATTACTAATAACTGTCATTAACTAGTAATTGTAGATGGGCAACAAAGGTTAACCTAAGGTAGTGACCTGAGAGAAAATGTTCTGGTCAAGAGCATTTCTCATCAACTCACTCTCTTTAAATTATGTAATTGAATAAATTGGAATTGTATATGTTTTCCTTATTATTTATTGCTGTCATGGTGGAATGGCCTAGAAGGAAAGCCCTTAGTTCACCGACGATCACTGAACCTTTTGTGTCTTTTGGTACAGCAAATTCTATTAGCATCAATGCAGGGGGTTTTTCTATTAAAGCTGAAGTTTTTACCTCTTTTTGCTACAACAACACCTTATTTGTAAAGTAGAAATAAAGCACATACAAACTATACAATGTTTTGAGGCTTCAGGGCAAATCACTGGTTCATGACTAACTGATCATCGGGTAAAATTTAACCAGACATGACGATATTAACAAACTGAAAGCCAGCTTGTTGCAAAAAACATTGCTATAGTAAATACTCAACTACATAGTACTCATATACTAGGACAAGGACTGTAGTCCATTCACACAGTGCAAATCATCTGTAATTGACCATTAGTGTCAACATTACGAGTCACTATTGATCAAGGTCGTACAGCTCTTCTGACAAACAGTGGTAAAAGGCTCTTGTTGTGACTGTAAACAAAGGCTCTAATTCACCATAATGGCTCCGTGAATCCGGTGCACTGAGAGATGCAGTGGCCAGTCTCAGTAGCTTAATTATCTTTCTAATTTGTATTAGCACCAGCTATCCTCTCAGGGACAATTATGTATCCAGTGTGTGACTGAGCTTAATGAGGTTAACTCAAGTCTTTACATGCAGTAAGAGTTCAGTCACCTTATAGAAGAAATGAAAAGTCCGGCTCTTAATGACTGCAGTGTTTTTCCTCCTCCTATGAACATAAATTCCTGTGAGTCCCAGTGGAGAGCTAAGGTGAGGCAAACGTATTCACAGTGGAAACACTAAGCAGAGGAGACATGGAGTTAGGCTGTGGTCGTGGATGAACGACTTTTTTTTTGATTATTAAATCTTAATACTGACTTTGAGTCACTACGTATAAAAGTCCCAGAACAGCAGAGCTCAGTGTTTGCGATATACAACACTGTTATATTAGAGACTCACAAAGTCATGTGAGCATGTCAATTCATGTGTCCTACACAGCTGACTCTGAGCACAAAAAAACAATATGTTTTCTTTTCTAAGTAGTGTAAGCCTTGTCTAAAGGTTCTTGGTTTATTTGCTGCAGCCCTCCCATTTTTTTGCTTGCTCAGTACTTAACTGTTTTTACTGCAGCTTAGGAAGGGAAACCATCTTATCTGTGAAGGGGGAGGGGGGATTTATTAGCGCGAAAAAGATAATTGCTATTCATAGGCCACTGGGGGCTGATTTACAACCACTAATATTTAGAATTCCTAGAGCCGTTTTTCAGCTTTTTTTATCTCCACTGCTGCTCGCAGCACAGAGGGGAGAGAGTTCACCGTGGACGAGGAGGGGTTGGGTGCGGCCAAGCCTCCTCTCAGAGCAATTTGGCTGAAGACTAATGTGAGAGGAAGTAGCCGACATGAAAAGGTCTCATCGACGTAGGTCTGCCTGGAGCTGACAAACACCTGCTCTACTTAACCTGTAATGAGTCTGCAGCTGAGATGAGTCAACACAAAGGGAAACATCACCTAAACAAATCTTTGTCTGTTTTTACAATTTGGAGAAAAAGTAGCTTCACTTTCCAAAAGTTGTATAGAGATTTTAAAAAGTGCATTTGGTGATGCACTTTTTAAGGACTGAGACACTGTCTTTTTGGTATAGGCTACAGTTTACCCTATGACCCTGAGGTGGTAAACAGATGGATGGATGGATGGATTGATTTTTCAGTTATCAGTTTCTTAAAAGAGACAATAGACATTAAGACCTGCACGTCCGCTAAGAAAAGTAGTAACATTTGCGACCATTGTGCCACTTTTGTAAAAGAGAAAAAAGTATTTTTTGCCTTTTCGTGATTAGAGCATACACTGTTTGGCATCATTGGAAACATTTCTGTTTTATCTCATCTCTATGCATCGTACCTTTTCAACAGGAAATAGATCTGCAGGCTGGACAGTTAGTCCAGTCCACCTTATATTTATATTTATTTTTCAATTAAAAAGGACTAAAAACGTTGTCGATATTTTCCCTCCGGCTTCTCACTCACTTGACTGGTTTGTGAAATTGTTTGCGAAACACGGCTTGTCCTCATAAAGACCAGATCCTGGTTATGTGGACTGTATTACCTGAAAACACAGGTGCTGTGTGTGAGTGTGTGTGAGTGTGTTTTCTTTTTTGCTTTTTTTTTGGTTTGGGGAAGGGCAAGTGAAACAGGAAATGAAGAGTTCTGGGCTTGTCTGTCCATGCTGATCCTCTACCTAACCGGGAGGTAGCAGAGGGCTTGACTGAGAGCACTCAGATGTGAGGTCATGGGTTCAAAGCCCAGGTGTTGTGCCTTGCAGCAGGACACTTCCCAGTCTAAACAGTGTAAATGATTTTGGAGAATGTGAGGTTAACTGGAGATCAAAGGGAGTAACCTCTGAAAAGAATACTGTATCAGTCGGGGACATCAGTTTGTAAACACTCTTGTATCTTACAACTGCTGTGAGCGGAGTGTGTGTGTGTGTCTGTGCACATCAGTGTGAGTGTGGTTTGAATAAGGTAGACTTGTGATGCAAGTTTTTTATATATATATACATACAGTATATATGGGTGACAGAAAGGCGCCTATGAAATAAAGTGTATCATTATTATTATTATTATATACTAGACCATTGTTTCCCAAAGACTGGGTCGTGACCTTTTTTTGGGGGGGTCGTCTCGCATCATGTTTGTAATGTCTATTGACTTGGGTCGCAAAGGTTTGTGACTTATAATATGGGTCCCCAGAAAAAAAGTTTGGGAAACACTATTCTAGACCATTAGGTTTAAATGAAAAAAGCACAGATTAATATAACAGTTGATGAAGGTCACACGTGTTTGTCTGGTTATTGTTGAGGCTGTCACGTAAAATGCATTTGAATTAAAAAAACGTGGCTCAAATACTGCTAAAAATGTTGATTAAAAATGTGGTTGATCGCAATGAATTAATTGGAGTTTTATACTGTATATATTTATAGTAACACAAAATTGTTTCTCAAATGCTTAACTGCTCACAGATTGGACTTTTTTTCCACTGCTGAGGAGAAAAATGCATGTTTCCAGAGAATCTCGCAGCTCTCTCTCCCTTTTGATTCCCATTTCATTGATTTAATTTCTCGTCCTTAAGAGATGTTACTCTGTCTGAAAGTGTGTTC